TTTACAAAACAGAGACAGACTCACAATTGATATTGTCAAAATGACCACACTGCCCAAGATTCAGCACAATCTCTATCAAAATACCAAAGGCATTTTTCACAGAACTAGAACAAATAATTTTTAAATTTGTATGGAAACTTAAAAGATCCTGAATAGTCAAAACAACCTTGAGAAAGAAGAAAAAGCTGGAGGTGTCACTCTCCCTGATTTCAAACTATACTACAAAGCTACAGATAGAGGAATAAGTCAGACAGAGAAATATAAATAGTGTATGGTTTTTCTTACATGTGCAATTTAAAAAATAAATAAACATAACAAACATATAACAAAGTTTGTATGGTGATATATTGTATCTAGACTTATTGTGGTGATCACTTCAAAATGTATAGAAGTATTGAATTACTATGTTGTTTAACAGGAACTGACATAGTGTTATTGGCTAATTATTCTTCAAAAACAAACAAAAAAATAAACTCATAGAAAGAGAGATCAGATTGTGGTTATCAAAGGAGGAATGTGGGAGAAAGGGACTTTGATGAAGGCAATCAAAAGATACAAACTTCCAGTTACAAGATGAGTAAGCACTAGGGATTTAATGTACAACATGATAAATATAATTAACACTGCTGTATTGTTATATATGAAAATGGTGAAGAGAGTAAATCATGAATTCTCATCACAGGAAAAAAATATTTTCTATTTCTTTAGTTTTATACCTATACAAGATGATGGATATGCACGAAACTGATTGTGATAATCCTTTTATGATGTATGTAAGTTAAATCATTATGCTGTACATCTTACACTTATACAGTGCTTATACCTCAATAAAACTGGATGGAAAAAAGGGCAGGAGAACAAGCCCTTTTATCCAAAGAAAAAATACAAATAACCAATAGGCACATGGAAAGATGCTCAGCATCACTAATCATTAAGGAATTGCAAATGGAAAACACAAAGAGATATCACCTCACACTTTTTAGAACCGCTATCAATAAGAACAGAAGACATAACAAGTGTTGTGAGGATGTGTAAAAAAGGAACTCTTATAAACTGTTAGTGGGAATGTAAATTGGTTCAGCCACAATGGAAAACCGTATGGAGTTTCCTCAAAAAATTAAAAATAGAACTATCATATGATCCAGCAATTCCACTTGTATACCCAAAAGAAACAAAAACAGGATTCCAAAGATATATATGTAATCCCATGTCTATTGCAGCATAATGCAAAAAAAAACCCAAGATATGGAAACAACCTAAATGCCCATTAGTGAATGAATAGATAAAGAAGATCTGGTGTATACATCCAATGGAATATTATTCAGCTGTGAGAAAGGTGGAGATCCTGTCATTTGTAACAACATGGATGGGCCATTAGAACATTATGCTAAGTGAAATAAATCAGAGAGAAGACAGATACTGTTTATGGTATCACTTATATATGAAATCTAAAAAAGCCAAACTCATAAAAACAGAGTAAAATGCTGGTTGCTTGAAGCTGGGGTCGGGCAATAGGAGAGATGTTGTTTAAGGGTACAAACTTGCAACTATTAGATAAATAAGTCCTGCAAATCTAATGCATGTCTATAGTAAATATAAGACAATAATGTTATATGAAACTTGCTTAAAGACTAGATTTTTTTTTAAATTGAAGTACAATCAGTTACAATGTATCAATTTCTGGTTTACAGCACAATGTCCCAGTCATGTATATACATACATATATTCATTTTCATATTAAAAGACTAGATCTTAATTATTCCCACCACAAAAAAGAAATAATTACGTGACATGATACAATATGATTGTATAAAAAAGTGGAACACAGAATGTCAGATGGGGAATGGCAGATGTGAACTGTAGAAATACACAAGTAAGTTGGCTCATTTTAAGTCATACAAAGGTGTTTATATTTCATCCCAAAGTTTTTGGAAAGCTAGAGAATGGTTTCATGCATGTAATGCTCACTTGGATGCAACAAGAAGCATGGAAAGCCTGGAGGCAAGGATACCCATTAGGATATACTTGCAGTAAGCTGGGTGGGAGTATGCAATGCCCAGGATTAGACACTGTTCTTGACAATTAAGAGACATAGATGAATAAATCTCATATATACTTAGAAAATATATATATATGATTCCTTCTTGAATGTGGAAGATGAAAAATGATAAAAGAATATAACAAGGGATTTGTGTCTGTCTTGAGAACACAGAAACAGTATGGACATTGCCTTATATATTGTTGTCTCAGTCACCAGATTTGTACAGCCAGAACAATATTTAACATCTTTGCCCATTAGTGAACTTCTCAAAAACACAGATAATGGGGAAAAATTATAAATATTATCCTCTGTTTTTCTAAATTTTCATTATTGTTTAGTTCAACAAATGTATGTTGTTATCACCACTGTATTCAGACACTGTGATAAATATATTTGTAAGGCAGATGAATACAATATGATCTTATCCTTTAAAAGCTGCCGTGAGTTGTAACTCTTACAACAGAATGTAAGAGTAAAATAGTTACAGAAGGCAATTTAACAATTTACTCCAACGTGACAATTTTCAGAAGACTTCCAAAGAAGCAGTAGCATATAAGATACCCTGTAAATGAAAAAGATAAGTTAAAAGATGGCATTTCCTTCTTACTTATATATCCTTAACAATTGGAATTTTGAAATTGTGGAAGAACATATATGGAACAATTTTTCACTGTAAAATAGTGGTGGTTCCAGCTGTAGGCAACTCTGCTTTCCCAAGCCCCACCTGGACAGAGAACCCATGGGGACATTTGGCAATTAAGAGGAAATCACCTTCTTTCCCGACAAAGGATTCTCTGGTACAGATGTTAAGGACACTGAGGTTAAAAAGCACTGCCTTAAATTTAGTTAATGAGGCTGAAAGTGAAATTTTAAGTTTAT